CATCTCACCTAGAAAGCAGCAATCTTTTAAAGAAAGCATAGAGGAATTTAAATGCAAATCTCCTTAATCCTCCTCACACCCTTATATTCCAGACATCCTTTTACAAATTTGCCCCAAGGAAGCCTCACCAATACCCTCAAGCAGCCTTTTCTTATGTAGCGTGGAGAAAGATAAAAGCAAATAAACTCAAGAAGCAGAAGCAAAGCCTAAGCCGGTCACCTGTCAAGCAACCAGATAAAGCCTCTATCCCGGGGTTGGGAGGTGTAACATCACTGATCAATAGAAAAATTAGTAACAGAAACCTACAACATTACTATTAAATCTCCTCCAATGCGTCTGCGTTTATAGCGAACACAAGTTCACACAGAAAACGTACCTTCTGCCTACTGACCCATTCCATTCCAAAAGAACCCTGCTATTTTCTCATAGCCTTATTTCAAAAGAGAAGCTAGGGCTGCTATAAGAAAAAAATGAAGAAAAAAAAAATGAGGAACTCAAAGAGGCTTGCCAAAGCTCAAAGACTGAATATATATATATTTTTTTACCGCCACATTAACAAAAAATAGCACGTCATGTTCCCGAATGCTGGTGAAGTTCTATTACTGAACAACTTTTCATCACGAAATAACGCCAAGGCAAAGGACTAAAAAAAAAAAAAAAAAAAAAAAAAAAAAAAGCGGTCAAGCCCCAACACAAAGTTTCAAAACAAAACCTCTCCCAAGGTTAGGAGAGAGGAGCAGCCGAGTGGAGAGCAGCACAGGCAGGTCTCCATCGTAGCAACAATCTGCAGCTCCTGTCACCAGGAGGGCGAGGAGAGCCGAGCCCCGGGTCCCGGGAGCGGGCGGCAGGAGCCGGCGGGCTGAGCCCGGCTCGGACGCGGAGGAAGTGGCTGCCAGAGATAGAAACGCCCGGAGGAGCCGCTCCCCCGACGGCCGGGGCCGCTCCCGCCGCCCGCGCTCCCGCCCCGCTCGGGCTCCCGGAGGGGAGCGGGGAGCAGGTCGGGCAGCGCCGCGGATCGCAGCTCCGCTCGGCCAGGGGCGGCGGCGGCCACACCGGCCGAACTCGGAGGGGCCGGGAGCCCGGGTTCTGGAGCCGCTGCCCGGAGGCGTGGGGGGGAGGGAGGGGGCCGGAGAAGGGTCGCTCAGGAGGCGGGGCCTGCGGCTGGAGGCAGCAGCTTCGGTGCCCTGGCCGCCCCCCACCCCCACCCCCGGGAAACCGGGGCGCGCACCCCGACGCGGAAGCCATGCTGGTCAGAACTCGGGGTGCTGAGAGGAGCCGGTGGGGGGCGCTAAGGAGATTTGGGGGGGGGGGCACGGAACTGGGTCACCCCCCACCCCACCGCCCCCTCACAATGGCCCCCGGGGAGGCCGCCCCGCAGGCCCCGCAGCCCCGGCCTCGAGTGCCCGCCGCGGCCGTCACTCACCGCCAAGTCCTGGGGCACCGCCCCGCTCATGGCCCGCACCGTGCCGGCCCGCCAGGCCCGAGTGCGCAGCGCAGGCCCGGGATCTCCGCCCGCCGCCGCCGCCGCCGCCGCCGCCGCCGCCGGCACCGAGGCCGAAGCCGAGGCCGTGGTGTCCGCGAACAGAAGCAGCAGCCGCTTGCCCACCGGGGAGGCCGCCGCGTCCGCCATCGCCAGGGCCGGCCAGACCCTCGCTCCCGCCCGCCGCCTCCCACCACCTTCGCCGCCGAGCGCCCGATCCGCCCGCAAGGCCTCCCTCCGCACCACCCGCGGCCGCGGCTTCCCCCCCACCCCCCCAACAGCCACCACCAACCACCGGCGCCGCGCAGCGCCCCCGGTGGCCGGGAGCGGAGCCGCAGCCTGGGCGCCGCACAGCGCCCCCCGCGCACCGGAGCGGGGTGGCAGCTCCGGGCCCCTCGCAGCGCTCCGCCCCAACCTCCCCAGGGCCTGCAGTGCCCCCTGCGTCGAGGAGGGGAATTGCAGTTTCGGCGGGGGTGGGGAACTGGGCGGGTCCTTCAGTCCCCCAGGGCACCATCAGGGTCCCAGCCTTATTTCAGGGGGTCCCCTATCTTAGAAGGCTTTAGCTTACCCTCCTCGCAAAGACTTTTACTGGAGTGGGGAGCTGAGGGGCAAGGGACCTAGAGAATGAATGTTTTGAGCTGAGAGTTTAACACCCCAATACCTATTGATTTCCTATCCTGAACATGCCCTACCCCAGTGGTCAGCAAACTCTGTCAACAGAGCCGCAAACCAAGGCTCGCGAGCCGCCATTGTCTTTTAGGAAACTTTCTCGCCATTGGTCCATCAGACAGTATCTTTCTTCTCATTGGCCCATAACATGGTTATCATCCCATGACTTCATAGGTTCCTTTCCAATTGACCAATGTGTTACATCCATTGGATATGATACTGCCACTCTTGCCACTGGATGAAGGCCAATAAGCTTCCATCTTGATATCCTGACTTAACCCATAGAGCTTTTCCCCTTCTAAGTCAATAATGTAGTCTTTCCTACTTTATTATTCCACTAATAACGATGTCATTAAGTCCAGGTGTTTCTCAACTCATCTTTCAGGGCATTGGTAGGCAAGCTCATTAGTCAACAGAGCCAAGTATCAACAGTACAATTGAAATTTCTTTTGAGAGCCCAATTTCTTTAACTTAAACTATATAGGTAGGTACATTGTTATTAAGTTAATTAGGGTAAGTGGTAATTTTGTGGAAGAGACATACTCAAGGGGCCAAAGAACCGCATGTGGCTCGAGGACTGCCATTTGCCGACTAATGTTTTAGGGGAATTGGATAGGGACCAATGATGGGGATTCTTTTTTTCTGGTTTAGTAATAGTACCACCTTACTATGGAAGTAGTGGGGCTGGGGACAAAGAACCCCCCCCCCCCATCTGAATTCACATTAAGTGTGGGAGATCTATAGCTGCTGTTAGAAAGGGGATGTAGTGGAGAGATACTGAATATTTTGCTTAGGTTGTTTTCACTCCAGGCAATGGGAAACCTCAACAGTTAATGTTGGTAATGTCAGAGACTAGCACAGGTTCCATGTTATTATGGATGCAGAAACTGAGTAAGTATACAGACAAGATACAGGGTCTAGTACTAATTCATAATTGTTACCCTAAAAGTAGCTTTTCTTTCACAGATCTGCCCTACAGACAGGAAAGGGCAGTAGCAGGTTCTTTCACCAAAACTAATGTGCCTACCCAGTAATCCGCCCATAAGTTTGTCTTTACCCTTGACCTACTTTACTTATAGCAAAAATTGGGGGCAGGGATGGGAAGTGGGCACCAATGATTGACTTTAGTAAAAGTACAAAACATCTAGGGAAGTGAATCTAAACTTAACCTTGTGGAGCACCAAGGAAACATTTCTTTGGATTTTTCTCTCTCCTTATTCCTCATAACTTCCTTTTCCTATTGCCAAGCTGGGACCTAAGAATGCTTTCCTTGGCCAAGAGACACTTCTTAAAGCACAGGGCCCACAAGTTGTTAGTTAAGAAAGAACAAGCGTGAATCCATACAGGATCTAGCTTGCAGCTTTTCTAGAAAAATTCACCCCTAGAATTTTCTCCCATGAGCAGTTCTATTTACTACCCCAGTGTTCACAGAACAGAAACAGACATGTGCCTAAGCTCGGGGATAGAAAGGCAAAGGTGGGTAATCCATTCAGCAAACATGGCAAACACTTTTCACGTGCCAGTAACTTTTTTAGAGTGTTGGGGACACAACACTAAATAAAACAAAACCCTTGCCCTCAGAAAGTTTACACTTTCCTACATTGTTAGGACTGGTAAATGCAATCACATTTGGCATCACAGTCAATAAACAGTAGAAAAACCCAACAGAAAAATTGAACAAAAAGGAAAATAGTTGGGAAGAGTCATTTTAAATGTTCAAACTTTAACCCTGCCCCAACAGCCATTTTGAGTAAAGGAAAAAACCTATAATGCTGAGCTTCTTTAACTACATTCCATTGCCCCATCCCTTCTGAGCCCCTCCCTTTATCTCCAGGGCAGTAAGAGTACTATCTTTTTAGAATGTATTTTCATCCCCTCAAAGGTTCCTGCTCCAGGTAGTCAAGCCAATACTGTCCTCCTCACACTTCATTGGTATTCAATAATAAGGGCCACTAATTTGAAGCAGGAAACTGGGACGGAGGCTAAGCAACTTGACTCTTCTTGTTGCCCGGCAAGTCAGCACCAAACTGGTAAAGAAAGGGCATGCCTTAGGGACAGAGGCTCCCGCCTGGATCTCTAAGCAGCTACACTTCACCCACTCGCATTGGAAGAATGCTAACGTAGGAAAGAAGAAAGGGTGGAACAGAAAGATCTAAAGAAAGAGTGAAGCACACAGCTTCTTTCCAAAAATGAACGTTCAATTGAGGCATTGGGGGAAATAACACCTTCTAGGGCAAAAGAGAAGTTCTGCTGGTAGGATAATTTTACAAAGGCAGTTATTTTTAAGATGCGGAAGTTGTCTTAAGTCTTGGAAATCTGAATTCTGACGACTAAATCGCAATTTCTCCATCTTTTTTAAAAAAAGATTCCAGGTCAAGTCTCCCATCATGACTTTTTTCCCATTTCCCAAAGCCTACAAACCAGTCTAGACAAGTCCCTGCCTATTCCATCAAGCATTCTCAGCAAGCTAGAATGTATTAACAGTTCACTTCAATCTCTTAGAAGTGAGAGTGACAGTTGAGAAGAGACAGAGACTAAATCAAGACTGCCAGAAACAACCCAGGCCTGAACAGAAACCCAGGCCATCCGATATGATTGCTGTGGCCACATAGGACCTACAGACCAGATAGATACTGCCCTGGAAGGGCAAACGCCCAGCCATGCCATCGGAAGGGGCTGGAAGAGTTAGGTGGCCTTCTCCCTGCTTCCTCTTTTCCTTTCTTTGTGGTGATGGGAAGAAGACACTGTAATACACAAGGTTGCTTGGGAAAATGGATTATTCTAATAAAACTTTATTTTTTCAAACACGGCCACAGAGGCAGGACCTCATGTTTAACACACACACAGACTCATGGATTTTTTTTTTAATATAAAACAAAATTTACGAAAAATTTTTTTTCCACTTTTTGTATTTGTAATCCCATTAGCACGGGACTTTGGCAGCAGGTGGGAGTGAAGGGCAGCTAAGGCTGCCACTGGGCAGTCACCGGGCACAGGAGGAGAGCACCAGCCTGGGAGTGGCTTCACTCACACGCAGGGATACTCACCTACTGGTCAGCCACACCACACACACACAACACAGATGCAGATGTCTACCCAGCGCCAACCACGGCCCCGGAGAGATGCGCTCCACTCTGGGTAAGCCCAATATGTGAAAGTCCAAATAGTCAGACAGCTAAAGTGGAGGGAGGTTGCTTGCTTGCTTTACAAAAGCAGCAATCACAGGCTGCTTTTAAATGGTCAGCAGTCCAAATGCATCAAAGGTCAGAGGGTGAGGGGGAAAAGGTCCCATCAGTAAAGAGGGAAAGAAAGAGATGAAGCCCTTCAACCCTGCCTCAGTTACCCACATGTGCTTGCATCTACTTAGAGTGAGAGAGGCAGGTGGTGTACAGCCTAGGCAATCTGATAAGGAGAAAAGGCCAGCTCAGACTCAATGTGAAAAGCCCTCTCCAGCCCCCATACTAACTCTATCTAGGGGACGGGGGGGTGGGCCTGAGGAAAAGATCATTGGCTGAGGTCACAGCACTTAAAAGAGCCTGCAGTACCCCCAAACAGAATCCTTTGCAGAGCCAGTGGTGCTTATGGATTATAAGCCTGGTTCCAGAGCTACTTAGGAAAAAGAAAAACTTGGAAATAACTCCTTCCGACTTCTTGAACAAGCCCACTGTCCCATGGAAACTCGAGATCCTGGGGACATCATGATGCTCTACTATTAAGGAGCAACTGCTTTCCTTCCCTAAGGCTACGCAAACACACCTTTACACCTTTCCTCACGTACACTCCCAAGCACACACACACACACTCGCACACAATTTCTCCGAGGAGGCTGAATGACCCCCCCACCCTGGCCAAATTCTAAGACACAAGTGCCCTTTGAAGCAAAGGGGCTAGTGAAATTCCCCGAGCTGGGGTCAGCAGACCCCTTCCTTCCCTGCCCGTTGCTTTCTCATCGGCAGGGATACTCACACTCAGGGCCGCCATGGGAAGGGTCTGCTCTGGGCTGTCCCTCCCGCCACCAGCTCTGTTTATCTTGTCCCGGCCAGTGTCTCGGCATGGTCGAGCTTCCTGGAGCGAGATTTCCGGCTGGCCTGAATGGGAGCCCTCCACTCATCCCCATTCCCAGGCTGGGCCCCTAGTCTTGGAGCCTCGACACTTGTGAGTAGCCATAAGAGAGTCAGTCTGTGTGGCCCCAGGAAGTAGTAGCCTCTCAGTTTTAGTTCTCCTCAATCAGATTTAAGTCCAGGTCCCCAAAGTCCTGCTGGCACAGTGTCCGCTTACTCAGCGCCTGGCGCCCCCACCGCACAGACCCCTCCTCCTCCTCTTCGCTTTCACTCAGCACCTGGGAGGCACCCGCAACGGGGCTGCAGGAAGCAGAGAGGGGTGGGGGGCTACAGGCCATGAACCACGGTGGAGAGATGCTGCTGCCTTCCCGGGCTGTTTCTTGGAGACAGGCACCTCCTGAGTATGGTTTCTGTCAAATAAACAACAAAGTTAAGAAGGCAAAGGAAGAGAATAACATCCCAGAGCACGCTGGCCCAAGCTGTATTTCAAAGTGTCCTGTGCCTTAGTTACTCTCTAAGGCAGGAATCCTAGGCTTTAGGGTGAGGTTTATGAACTCACTGGTAAAATTTGGAAAATTCAGTGACCATGTAACATTTCTTTGAGGAGAGATCTCAGTTTCCATCAGAAGATTAAAGACTCATTTATGGGCAGAAATATCATGTCTATTTCACTACTGTAATGCCAGGGCCTATACTGTCAAGGTCAGGTACATAGTAGGTATCAAAAAAAAAAAATACCTGCTAACTGGTTAGATGGATGACTGTCAATAAGTATGTAAGTTTGCAAAGAGGTTTGTGACCCAGTGGTATAGCAGGAGTATGAAAAAGTGGGCAAGTGTTTAAGACAACTGCACTCATACTGGGAGGTCAAAAACGTATGCTGAACAGATGAACATTGCAGCAGCCTGTTTTTAGCTCTCCCAGACCCAAGGCAGTGAAGGGCAAGTGGCAAAACCATCCTTGAGCACAAGGAGGGGTGGGGCAATGACGACAGGACTCTGTGGCTTGTGCATTCTAGGAATGGAGGGAAAGTGCCTCCAGCAAAACAATCTGGGAATCCTTACTGGCACGTTTAACATGGCTCTCACCCGTTTCTCTGGAACCCCCAGGACATGGCACCTCAGGATTCAGTGCTAAAACGGGACAGTGCTGGGCAAGCTGGGATGGTAGGTCACTCCGGTGAAACCTCAGATATAAAGGGGAGGCCCTGCCAGGAAGGCATGGAACTAGGGCAGTGAAAGAGAACACAGTCCCTCTGCTCCCATCCAACCATTCTAGCTTCCTTAATCCGGCTGGTCCCACCTGATTCATCTTGTCAAAGTCCAAGGAAGGCCTTAGCCGCCGGGGGTCCTCCTCGTGGCGCCGCTTCACTCCAGCTTTTCGGGCATCCAGATCACAAGGCTGTGAGCGGCTTCGAGGAAGGTTGCGGAGGCCTCGGGGTCGCCAGGGCAGCTCTGGGGAGGATGCGGGGGAGCTCCGGGCAGAGGGCAAGAAGCGGCTTGCCTGTGGGCCCAGGCTGGGTGATAGGGAAAAGCGGCGTTGGGGTGGGCAAGGAGATAGGGATTCAGCATCACTTTCCCAGGAGCCATTTTGGGGGGAGGCAGCACAGGGCTGAGAGGAATCTTGGGTCAGGGCCAGGCTGAAGAAAGGGGGACTGCTGGGTCTGTGGGCCGGGGCACATTGAGAAGAGGCACTGGGAGCTTGGAGGAACCTGAGGCTGGAGACCCGCTTTGGAGGGCTCTGGTGAGGCACCTGCGGCCCACCCCCTCCACCACTGCCTCGGTGCTTGATGGGAGTCCACAGCTTGGAGGGGGCAGGCCGCCACACTGGCTGCCAGCGAGACAGGTCCACGGGCACCGAGAGTGAGCGGCAGTGCCTCTTGGGTGGAGGGGTGGGGGGCACAGGAAGCTTCTCTGGGTCGGGGGGCTCAGGGCTTAGAACTTGGGAGAGGGGCTGCTCCGGTGGGGAGCTTCCCCGGCTGGGTGGTCTGAGGTGCAGGCTCAAGCCTGACGGGTGGTAGCTGAGGTTGAGGCCGTCTTGAAACTCGGCACAGGAACAGTGGGGCAAGCCCCTCCAGGAAGCACCTTCTGGAAGGCATTCATCATAAAAATGATATTAATGATAGCCAATATATTTTTAAGAGCTTACTATGTCCCCATAATGTAATCAACATTTTCTGTGGTTTCCAAAAAAAACAACTATTATTATGCCCATTTCACAGATAAGAGAAGTCCAGTAACTTGCCCAAAGTCATGTAGCAATCAAATGACCAAAACAGGATTCAAACCCTGGTCTGTCTAAGATTAGATCTTTTAACAGCTATGCTATTCTGCCTCCATTATGACAAAACACATGAAATTGGAAATACACTCTCATACAGCGCCTTGCCACTCCCTCAAAGGTAAAACAATGGAAACGTTGTGTCAGTGTGCCCTGCTCATCCCTCACTCCACTCAACCTACTGCCCAGCTGGCCTATCCTCTCCTTCCTTAGCCTTTCCCCTTTCCAAGTCTCAGCAGCACCAAAATAGGAATTAGGGTTGCCAAGGAGTAAGAAGTAAGCAAACAGGTAAGAGATCACTTTTATTGCTAGGGAGGGCAAACAAGATGCAAAAGGCCTTTGGTAGTGGAACCATGCTTGGGAAACCCTAAGACTTTATGCAGCTTATGTGCCTGCGTCTGGTCACCCAAATACGTTGACTCCTTTCCCACAGACCTGCTCTGAAATCCAAACAGATTGGGGGACCGAGAGGTGGAAGAGAAAATGGACTAAAATGAATGGTCCTCACTGAATTCTAACCAAAACTCTATGACTTCTGGAGGCAGCTCATTAAGAGACAAAGGGCCGACATCTTTTATGTTGTGGGTAACAGACAGTTAAGAATGTTACAGCATATAGAGATAGTATGTGGGGAAACAAGACAACTGGGAAGGATTCTATGGACTCTGCTCTGGTGCAGTGGTTGTGCCCGGAGGGGTCTGGGGGGAAAATGGTTACCTTGACATTCCAAAGATATGTGATGGTAGGTGCAACAAGACAACAAACAAAAACAAAACAAAAACAAAAAGACAAACACGAAAAAAGATATATATATATGCCTACTCCCAAGCTCCTCTGGCTAGCTGACTGCAACCTGCAGAAGCTAGATATTTGGAACAACTGATAAGTATACGAAGTCATAAGATCATTGAGAAAACCCACACTTAACATTTTTAGTCAATAGTTCTGCCCCCTACTAACCTCCCTGAGGGCAGGGACCATGTCTCCTATTCTGCACTTGGAACATAATACCTGGCTCACAGCAAGCATTTAATAAATCAGAGAAAGAAATTAAATGAAGATGCTTTTGCCAACTTACTTCCCTTGCCAGGTATACTAGAAAAAAAGAAAAGAAAAAAAAGCTGCACAGCAGCCTAGCATCATGGGTTAAAGTTCTGGTTGTACAACAGTGATGCCTGCCCCCATGATCACAGACCCTTTGATGGAATAATGTATAATTTATACTTCAGATACACATTCACCTGTGTAAAATGACAGACATATGTACCAGGCTATTCATTATGGTTTTGTCTGGAAATAACCTAATCCACATTAATAAGAGACTGGTTAAATAAACTATGGTACACCCCTACAGTGCAATAATGTAAAACAAAGAAATGTTCAACATTACTAATGATATATGAAACAGAGACAAGTGCTCATCTCAGAAGGTGACCCTGACAAGAATGTTGTGGAGGTAGGCTACCTAGTCCTGGTCACTGGAAACCAAAGAAATATGTGGATGGAAGCATGGACATACACACACCTATGCAAATACACAATACCTTACCAGGCACAAGCTGGAAAGGGTTCCCACAGTTGGAGATGTCTGCATGATCAGGCAAAGGCTAAGAGAGAGACAATATCCATCATGATTCAGGTTCAGGACCCAGATTTCCAAGCCCTGTTCAGCTCACCCCTGCAATTCCTGGGCTAGAGGGATGTTAGGGACTCTTTTTTAAAAAAAAAAAAAATATATGTCTTTATTGATTTCTGAGAAGGGAGAGGGATAGAAACATCAACGATGAGAATCAATCATTGACTGTCTGCCTCTTGCACGCCCCACACTGGGAATCAAGCCTGCAACACAGGCATATGCCTTTGACTGGAATCGAACCTAGGACCTATCAATCCCCACTCTATCCACTGAGCTAAACCAGCCAGGGCTGGGGACTCTTTAAAAAGTGTTCTCTTCTTTCTTCCCAAAGTTAGTAAAATAATGCACAACTTCCAATATTTCAAACCCTTCTCCACCCAAGTTTTACTGTTCCGTCTCTATCAGTGGAAAAATCCCTGCTTTCTTCCTTTTGGGATGGGTTTCTTGAGCTTTTACTGGACTCTTCCAGGAGAAGCACCATGACTCATATGGCATAGGACAAGGGTGAAGTAGTAGCAACAAACAGCCTCTGTAAAAAGGGGGCAGGGGTCGTGGAGAAGCAGGAAGACTGGGCTTTTACCAGACTGATGCTGAAGCGTGTGCATTTCAGCTCATCCAGAGTCTGTTTCTGTAGCTGCTCGGTGATCAGGGTTATCATGATTCTTCCCGGGATCTGACTTGAACACTTCGGAGCAAATGATGGATATCTTCCCTGTTGTTCTTCCAGATCTCACTTGTGAGCTGTCTTCTGCCACTGCAGCACCATTCTAGCACCATGGGGACTTCCCTCTCCAGTCATGCCTGCTGAGTCTGCCAATTAGAGGGACCGGCCCCAAGTGATATTAGAGATATACCTGGTCTGGAGACGGAAAATGCATGGCACACATACCACAGCATCCCTATGCCAGGCCTCTGGCAGACATCATTAATTGATCACAGCTTTTTCCTGGTAAGCCTAAACATAGCCTCAGACACATTATAAGCTTGGCAGTCCAGATACCTAGTAAAATGAACTGGAGTTGGCAAGCAAATTGAAACCTATTTGCCACTCCTAACCTGGTTCATGCTCTGCTGTCTACCCAGAATACAAGCACCACTTAGGAAACAGCTAAGGTGAGAAAGAGGAATGACCAAATGGTTATTTCCATCCTGATTAGCCCAATATTTTATTTATCAGAAGCAGAGAGGTACCCTTTACCTAGACTACAGAAATAATAATAGGGAGCAGGAACAGCAGTGGTTGGAATGATTTTCTGCTTCAGATAAGAGTCAATGAGGTTTGTAGTTCTCCCTTAGCCTGACCGGCTGATGTAATTTTCCAACAGATAGTGTATATATTCTCTTATAAAATAAAAAGATAAGGAAATGGTACCAGGGTACTCTGTGACTTTATTCAACTAAGTTTTTAGCCTGTTCTGACTCAAAAACCATTAATACAATTAATCAGGACTCTTTCTCAGGTCAATTTGGTAAAAACAAACCAATTCTATCAGATAACAGGCTTTAAGCCCACATAATTACCTGAGGGGTCTTACTCCAGGGAGAAGGGGAGGGTAACCTAGTGTCTTCATACTATTCTGCCTATTCCTAGAAGTGACTAGCAGGCTGACTGTTCACCAGAGGGTATCTGTAGCATTTGCTAAGTAAAGGGAATAAACTATCTAGAAATCTCAATCCTGACCCTATTTGCTGTGGCAGTTTTGGCAAATCACTTAACCTTAGTCTCAATTTACCCATGTATTATAAAACGGGCCGAATAATCTTAACCTGTCGCATACAACATAACAGACACCAAAATGCAAGAAGCATACCATCTGGCCTGTACAAACCAGGAGTCCACATAGGCTGTTTCTCATCCCTCCGGTTTGTTGCTCGACAAAGCCTCAGGCTGCCACAAGTGGTGATACATTAAGAGGAAGGCAACCAGATTTATCTCTTTGATTAGATGCCAACCTCAATCACCTCAATGACACCCAAAAGAGCTTTTTTCTGTGACCTTGGGGGCAAGATTACTTTCTACTTTTACAAAAAAAGAAGGGATCACCTCTACCCCATTCCTTCCTCAGAGGGAGGCATGCCACAAGGAAAAGCAAATAAACACACGTGGACATACTTGGGAGCTTTTTGGAAGAAAGGTGTGGGAACAGTCAATTATCAGTGCAGTTAACTATCATTTTCATGCATAATTATTACAACCCTGAATGCAGTTCCAGCTTCTTGAGAGCTCTCTTCAGCTACTTCCCCTACTATGTTGAGGGAGAAGCTAAAGCTTCTATCACTTCTGCTCTTGGTTTCTTAACTCTACCCTCAAAGATCAACCAGAGAGGAAACCTAACTGCAGGCGTTTACCCCAGAGACCCTGGGCTCCAGGCTGACAACAGGCTGACCAGCCATGAGGAGCAGCGTGTGAAGCAAAACTCTTTCAGGCTTTTCATGAGGCATTTGGCCAAACAGCAAACTCCCAGTCCTCTCTGGGATCAAGTGAAGAGAGTGATTTCGTGGTGGGTTTTTTTTCTTTTTTTCCCTTCTGCGTTTTAATTGTTGGGATGTGGCCACACACGGCGGTAATTGGAACAATGCAACTACCACCACGCAACTGATACTCTCAGCCCGAGTTTCCGAAAACAGGCCAGGCTGAGAGGGGGAACAGAACGGAAGCCATAAGGAATCAAACCAGGACACAAAAGAAGGCAAACCAGCTCCGCGAGGGGCCTCCTCTGTCTCGGGCAGACGAAGAAAAAAAAGTGTAAGAAGCCCTCTCTTGCCGCCTTCCTTTCCCTTCCATTTTGTATTATCTGAGGGCAGAGGCTACCCTGAACGTTCACCAAACAAGTTAAAACTTCTCGGCTTAGCTGGCACGGAGCTCAGCCCTGCAAGGAGCGGCAGGCCGCTAGGCCCTCCCCACAATCCCACCAGGCCCAACTCGACCCAGGCTTTCCCTCCACCATCGGCCCCCTAAAATAAAGCTTGGACCCTCACCCCCACCTCCCATTGGATGGCAGTGACCCCTGACACTCGGGTTCCAGGGATGCTGAGGTTGTGCTGAAGCCTGGAGAACCTAGCATCCAGTCAGGCTAATGGGGAGGAGAAGTCACCAATCCTCTGGGGACCTTCCCTCAGGTCCCAGCCCCAAACCTCTTGGGGAGACTGAAGGAAAACAGGAGGAAGCAGGGAGGTGCAGGAACAGGTAAGTGGGGGTCTGAGGGCTCTTCCCCCGTGTGGCTCTGGTGGAGAGAAGGGTGACAAGTGGGGCGAACCCCTCCCCCTCCGTCCCCTCTCCCCCCCCCCCCCCCGATGAAGAAGCAAGAGGCTAGGCCCCCCTCCAATTTTCAACCTCCCCCTCGGCTGCCCTGCCTGTCCCCGCGGGGTGGGGCATAGGTCGTCCGCTGGCCCCTGTGGGGGCGCCAGGGCTCGCTCAGGAGGGGGCTTGTCGCTCCTCTCTTCCCAATTAGCTTCCATCGTCGGGCCGCGGAGGCGAACTCGGGACGCAGGGGATGGAAAGGGTCCGGGACTCAGCGCTCCGCCACCCCTCCCCCACCGGGTCCCTTGCTCTCCCCGCGGAGGCGGCCGGCGAGGCCCTGCCGCGCGGGCGGCCGGGCTGGGGGAAGGGAGAGAGGGGAAGAGGGAGGGCCGGCCGGGGAGCCCGCCCCGAGGCCCGAGCGCCACCTGCCCTCCTCCGCCACCTACCGCGGCGCCTCCGGCTCCCAGGGCCGCGCCGGAGCAGCTCTGAGCGCTCCGTTCACCCCACGGTGTCCTTAAAAGGCGCCAGCGCGAACCAACGGGCCTCCCGGGCGGGCGGGGGCGCCTCTCCCGCCCACAGAGCGCCCCCGAGCGGTCCGCGGGGGCTCGGGACTCGCGTCGCTTCTCTCTCCGAGTCTTTCTCAGGCGGTGCCGTCAGGAAGGAGGCCGGTTCTTTGATTTAAGGATGAGGGCGGTTTCCTCCCGATGGAGTCACCCCCCTCCAAAATCCTGCAGCAGGTGGACCGGCCCAGTTGGAGGCACCTCTCGAAAGCCGCGGGGGAGGCCGCGTCGGGAGAAGGTAAACAAAGCTACCGCTCCCGCCCTCCGTGTCCACCTCGGGCCAAGGACAGCCTTCTCATCGGCTCGGGCCGCTTAATAAGAATTCGCCAAGGCCCCTCTCACCTGTTCTCCTCTCCCACCTCCTACCGCCGCCTCTCTGAAGGAATCCCATCCCCCCCCAGCAGAGGACCCGTCCGCGGCGCGAAGGCTTCTGGGAAGTGTAGTCCAAGCGCCGATTAGGGCCTGCTCTAAGTCCCAGGAGCCCCCCCTTCCAGCGGCCAGATCGACTCGAACCGTGTAAACCCAGGACTTTACTACAGTTGGGGGCTGTTCCCGTTTGGTTCTGTGATGAGCCCTCACCCAGAAACTTTATAAAAGCTAAGGAGGGCCCAGGACCGATCACTCCTTTTCCTCCCTCTAACGCACCGCCCCCCCCTCAACAGGATGAGGTAATGGGATTGTGATTATGACATCATAGGCGGCTCAGTAACCCGCGTGGGAGGGGCGGGGGGCAGAAGGGCGGAGGGGTACGGTAGTTCCACCTGGACCACTTTCCTTAAGACTGGGAGGGAGGAAAAAGGCAGATGGGGAAAAGATGGTGATGGTGCTATGTAGTTCCTCTTCAGGTAGAGTTAAACCACCTTTTATTAAACCGCCACCACTGCCACCACAGCCAAAGTTTAAGTCCTTTTTGAAGACAATGTAGACGGTAGTAGATGAAGAGGTTGGGGAATAGGAAGATGGTTTCTGGTTCTTATGTAAATTTTGAGTCTCATCAGTCAATGAAGGTTTTAGAGAGAGACAGGGAAAAAACATGGAAAAGGAGTGGTTTTAAACAATGTCTTTGTGTTGTGATCTCTTTGTAGAATTTTAGATTTCTTTTGTAATCGATGGGAAAGTAACAGTAGTGCAATTAAATCCTCACTACTACATTTAGCAACAGGTCCCCTGAAAGGTGTCTTTTCCCTAAATAATGTATACCTCACTCAAATCTGGGACAGATAACTAGCTGTGATCAGTTAGAAAGTAGAACCAGTGGTGGGATCTTCACAGCGCCTGGGAAGGGAGGAGTCAGAGCCACCTAGTCTGCAAACTGAAAAAGAAGAGGAAAAGTTAGGTACTTAGTAAGAAAATGGGGTCAAGGGAAGATATACCTCACGTTTCCTTTGCCCTGCCCATTTCCCCCTGGCAAAAGAACTGGCAGAGGTTTGAAGTTACAGGAGATATGGTTTCCAATAATTAGTGTTGTGGCACACTTATGTGTCAGGCACCATGCTACATACTTTAAATATGTATTCTCATTTTTGCTTACAATCATCAAGTGGAAAAACATCATATCTGACCTGAAATGGCTGGAGAGGTTAAGGGACTGCCCATGTGGTAGACAAAAGTGGTAATTTAAAAAGCAGTCTGAGGCTCTAAAGCCCTTGATTTTTATCACTAGATAATCCCCCTTTTTATCATTAGCCATACTTACTAAAGTTAAATAATTGAATATAAGATGTTTAGTTAACATTGGCTCATTTGAAAAACACTGAGAGTTTAAAAATAACAAATAACAAGTTAGATTTCAAGCTTCACTTTAAAAGATTACACCTCTTTCATCAAGTATAAAATAGCCCCCCAATGCAGCCCATTACAAACTATAATATCCTTATGCCACTTTTAGTTCTCATGTTTGTTTGTTTGTTTGTTTTTTACTCATGTCATTGTATTTTTTCTTGCTACCCCATTTTCCTTTTTTGTTTTTCGACTCTTAGCTTGAACCTCATCTTAATTGTGACCTCATAGACCAAACCCCATTCTCTGACCCTACTCTAGTGGGTTTCAGCAGAAGATACTACCTGGGCTTCCTGCAGATTCTCTTAGGGTTCCAGGGTCTGGAGCCAGTCATCCAGGAGGCCATCCAAAGGGGTGGAATCCATTGGTTCTAAGAGAGGAGTCTCCATTCCCTGCCTATGAAGGGAGCAGAGTCAGAGGAGCATGCACCTCATTCCAACTCTCCCTTTTTAGCCAGTGAAAGTTAAATCTCTGCAAAATGGGAGAGATTTTTAATTTCTTCCTAGAGTCCACCACTCTAGGAAGAAATCAAGAATAGTGCACATACCCCTCAGCCCCCCGGCCCTGCAGAGGCTGGCTGGGGGGGTCCCAGGAATGCAGTGCTTTTCTCCATTGCCGGATCTGGGCATCCCAGGAGCGGCGGCTATACCTCCTGTTTTTGTTTGGAGTTTGAGGATGAAGTCCTGGCTGTCGTTGTGCCCTGGCAACAACAGTTATGCGTCAGACTGAGATCGAGGTGTAGGGGGCACGGCTCACTGCTTATCACAGTGAATCAGGAGACTTATTAGGGATTCTCTGAGAATTAGGTATGATCCATGCCCTCAGTCCAGAAAAAAATCTTCAAGTCAGATTAAACATCATACTTCCTAACTCCCCAATATTCTTTCTTCTGGGAAGGTTAAATTAGATATTCCAATTCCCTCAGAAGTCAAGATAGGGATAAAAGTCAGTATTTGGCATCCCTTTCAAACACACTCTATCTTTCATATAGTTAGTTGTATGTGTGCATGTAAACTTTCATGTAATTAGGTAAATACATTTCAGTTAGCCAAGTCAGCTGGCGGCATGAGATAAAAATGGAAAGAAAAAACTTCATAAGCAAACATGGATAGAGGGTTTTGTTTTTTTAAAGATAGGCTTTAAGAAGGTCTTCTGGACTAAGTATGACTTAACCTTGGGGCTAGGTTGCAGGAGAATTTGTTTTAGTAATACTTAAGTTTGTGAGAGCACTCAGATTCTAGTATATTTCCAACACCTGACATTGAACTAAAGCCACTTGACTGAGACTCTTGTGACTACCCACAACTACACTCACTTGGGGACCTGCTGCAGAAAACACTGGTAACCAGGTGTGCGCTTGCCATAATCTATCTGCTTTTGCCGCCGTTGTAGGACAATTTCATCTGTTTCTACCTCCCACCTGTGGGGAAGTATATAGTGGCCACATGAAGTGTCATCATAATTATCAAAGCAGAAAACAACTCATCCCACACTCCCCTAATCCCCAGTGTGATTTTCAAACTCACCTGGCCTGGCAGAGCTCTGTGCTGATTCCCACACTCACCATTTCTACTCTGCAGGGTAAAGACTCTTCACACTGCTCCTTTCTGGGGAAACAAATTCTACAAATGAAAAGGGTATTTTAGGACAATCCCCAACTGACTATACACCTCTAAGCCACTACTATAATCAAGATGCTAACACTTGATAAAGGTTGTTTTTCAAAGATAAAGGTTGCATTTCTAATTTGTTCCCCGAAGTGTAGACTGCAAGCCATCTGTCTACATAGCACCCAGGGACCCTGATAATTCCTGGGCCCCATTCTAGACCTGTTGGATCATCATTTTAGGGGCCTGTATTTTAAATTGCTTCCAAGTTTATTTTTATTTTTTATTATGCAGAGAAGTAAAGAGAATACCATCATGTTTTGTTACTCAAAGTATGGTCCCTGTACCACCTGCATCAGCATCAGCTAGAACAGTGATCATCAAACTCATTAGTCGATAGAGCGCAATATCAACAGTACAATGATTGAAATTTCTTTTGAGAGCCAAATTTTTAAAACTTAAGCTTCTTCTAACGCCACTTCTTAAAAATCAACTTGCCCAGGCTGTGGTATTTTGTGGAAGAGCCACACTCAAGGGGCCAAAGAGCCACATGTGGCTTGCGAGCGCAGTTTGCCGACCACGGAGCTAGAAGTAAAGAATCTTGGGCCTCAACCCAGATCTACTGAATCAGAATCTACATTTTAACAAGATCCCCAGGTGATTTGTATACAGATTAAACTTTGAGAGCACTGATATAATGGATCCTCAGTTACCCATCACCCAACACTCATGGCCAATTTTGTTTCATCCAGATCCACCACCACTCCCACAGCAGTATTTAAAAACAAGTCCCCAGCCGAAACCGATTTGGCTCAGTGGATAGAGCATCGGCCTGGGAACTGAAAGGTCCCGGGTTCGATTCCGGTCAAGGGCATGTACCTTGGTTGCGGGCATATCTCCAGTAGCGGGTGTATAAGAGGCAGCTAATAGATGATTCTCTCTCATCAATGTTTCTAACTCTCTATCCCTCTCTCTTCCTCTCTGTAAAAAGTCAATAAAATATATTTTAAAAAAACAAGTCCCCAAAATTAAGAATAAATTCTTGCTGGGCGGGTAAGGCTCAGTGGTTGAGCATGGACCTGTGAAGCAAAAGGTCATCTGTTGGATTCTGGGTCAGGCACATGCGCTGGTTGCAGGCTCAATTCCCAGTAGGGGGCGTGCTGTTTGTGATTGTTTCTTTCCCTGCTCCCTTCTAAAATCAATTTTAAAAAAATATATTTTATTGATTTTTTTACAGAGAGGGAGAGGGATAGAGAGAGTTAGAAACATCGATGAGAGTCATCGATCAGCTGCCTCTTGCACACCCCCTACTGGGGATATGTCCACAACCAAGGTACATGCCCTTGACCGGAATCAAACCCGGGACCCTTCAGTCCGCAGACTGATGCTCTACCACTGAGCCAAACCGGTTTCGGCTCTAAAATCGATTTAAAAAAATAAAAAATATATGTATATTAAAATCTCTCTCATCTTTGAGATTTCTATCCTCCCTCTCTAAAATCAATAAAATATTTATTAAAAATTAGATTATTTTAATATCACCTAATTAATGTTCCAAGTTCCATAAGCAACCAAATTTTGAGATCTTTTGAATTGTGACAAGAATTATGCCAAGCCCTAACCGGTTTGGCTCAGTGGATAGAGCGTCGGCTTGCAGACTCAAGGGTCCCAGGTTCGATGCCGGTCAAGGGCATGTACCTCGGTTGCAGGCACATTACCCAGTGGGGCGTATGCAGGAGGCAGCTGATCGATGTTTCTAACTATCCCTCTCCCTTCCTTTCTGTAAAAAATCAATAAAAATACAATTTCTTAAAAAGAATTATGCCAATAACTAAATCAACTCCCCTGCTTTCCCTGAAAAGGAATTTCCTTTACTCACGTAATTTAGCGTCTTAGAGATGCTGCGGGCTAACCGGGAGATCTTACTAGGAAAGCTCTTGGGAGGGGCCAATGCCGCTTAGCATCAAATACACACACCTGCTTCGCCCCGGCATCTGCCACACTCGCGGCAAATGCTCCATGTCCAGCGGAAGGGTAGCAGGCTGAGAGGGGGAAAGTCCTTATAGTATACGGGAAAGAAGCAAGGAAAAAGAAACGTCTAAAACACCTCCTTAGCCAAACTAATACCTCCAAGTATTAAGGACCGGACGTCACAAGCGCTAGCGAGGTGCAATTTAAATCTCCCGGGGTCCGAGGGGCGGGGCGAAGGGAAATTTCAGGAAGGGCGAGGCGATTGGCTGCAGGTAAAGCCAATGGTACGCCAGACTCGTGCGGGGGGGGAGAGGGGGGAGCCTTACTAAGCAGCTGCCGAATGCTAGTGGGCCAATCGGCATCGTGCTCTGGTTGTGGGGCGGGGCAAATTGGGTTCCTACCAGCGCCAGCTCACGCGCGCCCCCCCCCCCGGTGATGTACGAGCCAAATGATTGGCTGATAAGGTTCTGGGCGGGCGCGGGGATTGGCTGACGCAGCGTAGAGGCGAGCGGGATAGGTTGTTGGGAAGGCGGAAGGTTTGAATGGTCCAAACCTGCGGCTGTTGTTCTGCTCCGCGGCTGTAACTTAGACCCTCGGAGGAGAGAAGCCGCAAAATCGCAAGTGAAATTGTAGTGTGGGGTAAGTTGCTTCTTTCCCCCCCGATTTTCTTTAATTCTGCTCACATCTTTGCTTGTGACTGACCCCCACCCACGGCTCTTTCTCCTGAAGGTAAATCTCATACTGAAGCTTGAGGTAAGACCGGAACCAGAGCCCCACAAACGGGAATTCAGGGGACCCAAGGTATCGTCGCGAGTTAGGAGAACTGAGTTCCTTCGGGTCCGGAGTCACAAGCTGCAGTTCCAAACAAGTCAAAGCCATCTTTTTATTTCCGCTTTAAAGTCTTGACGTTTCCTCTCGGTAAGTTCGGGTCAGGCCGTTTCAGGCGAGTGCGGTTTGACCTTCAAGCCAAGTTGTGAGTCTCTACCGCTCCACTGGGCCACCGCTGGGAAGGGTGGATGAGGTTGTGAAAGCTGGACCATCTGGGATGTGCCTGTAGAGATGACGTTCTCTTCTCAGCGAGGTTTTCTTTCTTTCTTAGTGCTCGGAGACTATGTCTGCTGAGCTCACTTCATCCACAAGGGAGGAAGGAAGTCCTGGCAGAGGACCCAGTTTTAGATCCCATCAGAGGAAGATATTAAACTTGCTTCTGGAGAGAGACACTTCCTTCACCATCTATCCAGATCTCCCTGGAACTCCAGTGGACAAACTCTTCGGTGATTCTGGAAACCAAAGCGTTCTGTCTGGGTAAATCCACCTTTCACACCTTATCTACTTTTGTTTTTCTAAACAGTTCTGAGTTTAAAAAAAATAAAAAAAAATTAAAGATTATCCTGGCTCAAAGATCTGAGTTTAAGTCTTAGTCCCTGACTAACCACGTAACTCTACTGATTCTCAGACTTCTTTTCTATGACATAGAAATAATCTGTTATTATCTTACTAGGATCTTATGAGAATCAACTGATGTGATGTCTTGGAAAAGTCTTTGAAACCTCTATTGCATTATATGAGTTGGTCACTTTATTAATAATAGAGTTATTGTACTTTAAATTTTGTCCATGCCATGCTCTAATGTCTTAGCCTAGTTGGAGAGGTATAGATTTGAGAAGTACTAGACACTCAAGAGAAATAAAATCTGTGTGCTCAGAGCAGAAGATGTGGGGTCAAGACCCATTTCAGTCAGTAAACTTTGGTTCTCAATTAAAAAAAAAAAGTACTGTCTTAGTATGTTGGTGAGGAGAAAATTAGGTACAGATTATCGGAGTAGAGAAAATGGGGGAGATTTTCCTCATCCTAGTCTAAAATATCTCCAAAACCAATTGCTTTGTTTGGACACTTTTCAAATTATGTCATAATCATTGAGAGGTGTTTTTTTGTTTGTTTTGTTTTTTTAAAGAAGTTTCATGTGAACGGGAGCAGAACGGGATGGGTGTTTTCTTTCCTTTTTAAAAAATATATCTTTATTAATTTCAGAGAGTAAGGGAGAAGAAGAGAGAGATACATCAATAATGACAGAGAATCATTGACTGGCTGCCTGCATGATTGCGGGGGATTGAGCCCACAGTCCAGACATGTGCCCTGACCAGGAATCGAACTGTGACCTCCTGGTTCATGGGTCAATGCTCAGCCACTGAGCCACCCATGGTGTTTCAAATTGAGGATAAAATGATCTTTGCTTTTTAAGGATATTACATCCTAATGTGATTAATGATGTACTATTATGTCTCAACAGAGGAACCCCAAAACGTTGCCTTGATCTTTCGAATCTTAGCAGTGGGGAGATGTCTGCGACTCAGCTTACAGCTTCTGCAGACCTTGATGGAACTGGTAGAGAGAAGGAAGGTAAAGGCTTCAAGGGAAAAATAACTTAAGGGAGAGGTCAGGGTGGTAAGATAGACATGGAAGGTGGTAAAAGTAAGCAGAGAGCCTTGAAGTTGGAATTCTATGGGTACCTATAGGATTTATTTTGATTTCAGAGAGGAAGAGAGAGGGAGAGAGAGAAACATCAGTGATGAAAGAGAATCATTGATTGGCTGCCTCCTGCACACCCCTTACTGGGGATCAAGCCCACAACCTGGGCATGTGCCCTTGACCGGACTTGAACCTGGGACCCTTGAGTCTGCAGGCTGATGCTTCTATCCACTGAGCCAAACCAGCTAGGGCCCTGTAGGATTTTTTTAGGAGGATGATCAAGCCAATGGGAAGAGAAAAATAACATTAGTAGACGTCACTTTGCATTTGAAAATTTTAGACAGGAAGGAGTATTTTGTTGACTGATTAATAATATAAATTGAAACTCACTGAATGATGGGAATGGAAATAATAATTAAGATGAGAAGTGGGAGAGGACAACAGGGGAAAAGGGGACAAATATAACACTTTCAACAATAAAGAATAAAAAAAAAAAAAAAAAAAAAGCTAGGACCGGTTTAGCTCAATGGATAGAGCGTCGGCTTGGGGACTGAAGGGACCCGGGTTCGATTCCGGTCAAGGGCATGTACCTTGGTTGCGGGCATATCCCCAGTGGGGGGTGTGCAAGAGGCAACTGATCGATGACTCTCTCGCATCGATGTTTCTAACTCTCTGTCTCTCTCCCTTCCTCTCTGTACAAAATCAATAAAATATATTAAAAAAAAAAAAAGAATTAAAAAAAAAAGAGAAGTTTTATAACCTAGTCTAATATCAGCAGAGGCAAAGAAACCCACATAAATGAATACTTTGTCAGCGAATTCTTGCATTTTTATAGGGTCTGAGCCCTAAAGAAATGTGTTTTACTAGTCAGTCATTTTAGTATTTGTTGTAATTTCAGATTGCCTGAGTGATAAGCATTATTTTCTGTTCATGAAAAAAAAAATCTCTGTAGCTTACTGCATTATTTCCTAGTAGTTTGTCTTTCAATGACACACGTAAATTCTTAAGAATCTAATAAGTTTCCAAAACCAGTTTGGCTCAATGGATAGAGCGTCGGCTTGGGGACTGAAAGATCCCGGGTTCGATTCTGGTCAAGGGCATATACCTTGGTTGCGGGCATATCCCCAGTAGGGGGTGTGCAAGAGGCAGCTGATCGATGACTCTCTCATCGATGTTTCTAACTATCTCTCTCCCTTCCTCTCTGTAAAAATCGATAAAATATATTTAAAAAAAGAATCTAATAACTTGTACCTTGTACCATGAAATTGGTACCTTAGCAAGAGCCTTTCTGTTAGAGGTTAGCTTTGAAATTTATATGGCTTACTAGTAATAAAGAAAATCAGAAGGAAAGAGGATGCATGGATAAGAATAATTTCATATCTAATTGCAGGTCCTTTGGATTCTTCAGGACCTCAGGAAATACAGTTAGCTTGGAGGTAAATTCTTTTGCTAAATAAACTTTCAGTGCTGGCACAGGGATTTTATCCTATGCAAACTCTGCAGACTATGGGACATTCACTTTGGAGGCCTAAATCCTTCCCTTGAAAGGTTGTTAAGTTTCCCAGAGTGTTAGTTAATTTTAACCATCACACATAATCAGTATTATCTTTAAAAATGGAGGAAAACTGTATATTGCACTTAGATATAGGCTGTTACCTGCATGTGAGTAGTGCTATATCTTAGTGCTTAAAACTCACTGACTTAGTGTATCTTGTGTAGGCTCTAGAATCAGACTGTCTACTCTAGGGGCCTACTACTTCACCAGCTATGACTCTGACAAGTTTTTTAACTCCATCGCACCTCAGTGTCTTAAGAAACATCTCTTCTGACCCCCAATGCCTTTCAAAAATATTTTTCTTCTTTGGACTCCTTTTTAATCATCTATGCATCCAAGCCTTTGTAAGGCTTGGAATAGAACCCCAACATTTATGGCGCCCTATTGAGGGATGCCAACAGGTCACCTCGGTGCCTGCGACCCAGGAGAGACTGAGAGGTCAGCAGTTCAGCTTGCTCACCAGTCCCCACCCATCCAAGCCTGCTGCATGCCTAGCCTGGTGTTTGGTCATTCGTTCGGTTGTTTTGGACATTACAGATCCTGGCTCTTTATATATATTATGATTGTGTGTGTGTATGTGTAATATGTAGGTAAAGTGAAGGCCTTAACTCCAAGATGTCACTCAACATCCTAATATTTACCACAGAAATCACCCTACATATTGTTATTGGTAGAGACATAGCATCTAGGTATAAGGGATCCTAAAATGCAAGAAAGGAAAAGTTGGGATGCCCCAAACCACTGATGAATAACCAAATAGTATTTGGAGCTAAACTGACTGGCTTTTTTAATCTGATCTGTAGGAATCATCACAAGCACCTTATAAAATGCAGCCCAGTGAGTAGCTCCTCTTTTTTGGGTTTGGGTTTGTTTCTCAGGCCACAGCCCACCTTCCCAGACCCCACTTGACCCTTCCTGCATGCTGAGGGAGAGTTAGATGTCTCCGGTGGAAGATGGGTTTCTAGCTGTGGCTGGAGGTGTTGGATGTTCTCAAAAAACTATCTTTCGTAGGGACAGCCGCTTTGTAGCACTCCAAAGGCTTTGGACCATGGCAACCAGAAGACAGATGCGATATGTAGCTCATCCACAAATAAAGAAAATGTGAGTCTTTAATGGAAACCTAGATACATTAGCAAATGTCTTCCTTTAAGTAGAGCAAGTCGTCTCTATCATGAGACCTTGAGCTTGTTATGCCTCAGTATGCTAGACAAACAGCATTGCTATAGGGAAAAAATTATGGTTTTTGTTTTGTTTTATTTTGTTTTTTTTCTTTTAAGATTTGACCCTAGAACAGAAACCTAGCTCTAAATCTTACACAGTAGAACTTCATTATACTCATGTTTAGTTGATCGGTTTCCTTAAAAAATCTGTTAATAAGGAATTTAGGATTTAAAAAAATCCCAGATGAGAATAACGTACATAACTTGTTCACATACTATTTATTTGCATGGTTTCATGTACAAGAGTTCTTGATTTCTCACTTCTCCTGTAATATAGCTTTTTAGTTCCTTTTCTAGTAAACTGTGGTTCTTTTTGGTCTGAGCTTCAGGCCATCTTTGAGTATCAAGTTGATATTGACCTCTCCAGAATCATTAATTCTCTAATATCTCCAGCTAATCTCTTTTTCTAGCCATACTTTTCTTTTCCCTGTCTCTCCTCTTTTCCTCCAGGTCAGGAAGCAACTGATCAATGTCATTCATAAAAGATATTTTTCTTTTCTCACATTAATTAAGTTATGCCCATGTTTTTGTCTGTCCTAATCAGCGTTTTAAAAAAAATTTAATACTGTCCTTTTTAACCTCCCTTTACTCATTTTTTAAAATTCTCACCTCCTCCCTAGTCAGGCTCCTTCCTTCTTTTGGCTTATAAACATAAAATTAGTATCCCCCAAAGCAAATCCACCTAACATACATCAACTCCAAACCATAATTTGTTTGAGATGAAGGGAAAACTTACGTGTTCCATCAAATGCAATGTTTTTGTCAGGCTTACTGACACATGTCTTCCTCCAGCCAAAGTAGTTTTTCTTATGCAGGAAAACAAGGCTTTGAAGCCCTTGGAATGCGGGTCTCCCAAGAACCTGAAGTTCCAAAAGAAATCAGGGGGCCCTTACATGTCTCCCCTTTCTTCACTGGTGAGTCACTGGACATCATCAAAGGTCAGCTCAGATGTTGTGGGATATGGGATGGTAGAGCTGGATTTAGGACCCTTTGAATTTTTCTAAGCTGGCTTGAGTGAGAAAAGGGGTCGGAGAAGTAATGTTTGAACAGGGAATGGGAGGAGATGTATGTCCTCTGATCTTTTGTTTAAATTTAAGGATGGTCATATCCAAGAAATCATTGCCAAATCCAATGTCATGAAGCTTTCCCCCTATGTTTTCTTCCAAGAATTTGATAGCTTTAGCTCTTTTAGTTTAGATCTTTGATTCACTCTGAGTTGATTTTTTATATGGTGTAAATGTCCTGGGTAATTTGTAATATTGTCAATGTACTTGGCAGGACAATGGAAACCTGGTGGAAAGTGAAATGAAGTATCTGGGCAGTCCCATCGCTATAGTTCCAAAATTGGGTAAAAATCTAAAACTAGGAAAAGACCAGGCAGAGGAGATTTCAGATGAATTGATGGAGTTTTCCCTGGAAGATCAGGAAGAGTCCAAGGTAACGTGCTCTCTGTAATACTCTAATAGTCACAATTCATATGTATCTTTACATTTTCATTCCTTCATTCTTAAATGAACAGTACTACCTACCTAATATGTTGTAGTCACTGTACTAAGTGGTAGGTCTGCAGAGATGAAGACATAGTCTCTCTATTCTTTTTTTTTTTTAATATATTTTATTGATTTTTTTTACAGAGAGGAAGAGAGAGAGATAGAGAGTTAGAAACATCGATGAGAGAGAGACATCCATCAGCTGCCTCTTGCACACCCCCTACCTGGGGATTGTGCCCGCAACCAAGGTACATGCCCTTGACTGGAATCGAACCTGGGACCTTTCAATCCACAGGCTGACACTCTATCCACTGAGCCAAACCGGTTTTGGCTATGGTCTCTCTATTCTAATGGCATCTGACTGATATGGTATCAGGTCACTATGGGATTCTTCTCAACTGCTGAGTGAGAAGTTCTAGATAGTACTTTGACTGGATTACCATCAGTGTAGTCTGGTGTAAGTGATAATGGTAATGGATGGAATATACCTATTCATTCATTCACTTAATGTTGGGGATACAGTACTTACAACAATAACCCAAAAAAGTCCCTGCTCTCAAAGAGCCTACATTCTAGTGCAGAGGGAACAGACAAGTAAACAAATAACATTATAATATGGCAGATCATAAAAATACTATGGTGAAAAAAAAAAAAAAGCAGGGTAGGGAGAATAGGGATATCTGGATTGGGGTGGCAGAGATTGGGAATTGATAGGTTCATAGATTAGAGAGGAAGACCCTCAGAGTGACATTTGAATGACATCTGAAGTGGTGAGGGCCATGCAGGAGTAGGCCTTCCCTGGCTGCTGGCACCGGCTTTCCCCTGGCACCTGGGACCCGGGCTTCCCTCCAGAGGACAGCAGGCACCCAGGACCTGGCCTTACCTCGCAGCCCCGGCTTCCTCCCCAAGGTCTTGCAGTCTAATTAGCATATTGCGCTTTTATTATTATAGCTGGGCTTAGTGGTTTGGCTTAGTGGATAGAGCGTTGGCCTATCTAACTGAAGGGTTCCGGGTTCCATTCCAGTCAAGGGCACATACTTTGGTTGCAGGCTCCTGGCACTTGCATGGGGCATGCAGGAGGCAACCAATCAATGTGTCTTTCTCACATCGGTGTTTCTCTCTGACTCTCCCACTCCTTTCCCCTCTCTAAAAATCAATGGAAAAAATATCTTTGGGTGAGGAAATAAGTAAATAAATAAATGATAATCATATGGCTTTTCTTTTTTAACTTGTTAATATGGTGAATATATTGATTTTTGAACTGTAAAACAACTTTGCATTTCTATGATAACCTTATTTTGTCATGGTATACTCTTTTTATATAATTCTTTACATTTGATTTGCTAAAATTTTGTTGAGAATTTTTGTGTTTATGTTTTATAAAATTTATTGATTTTTAGAGAGAAAGGAAGGGGAAGAGAGAGACAGACATATACTGATTTGTCATTTCACTCATTTATGCATTCATTCATAGGTTGATTTCTACATGTGTCCTTATCAGGGATTGAACCCTGGCACATAGGGACGATGCTCTAATCAACTGAGCTACCCTGCCAGGGCAGAGATTACTGATCTTTAGGGTGGTTTTTTTATTTTATTTTATTTTATTTTAAATATATTTTATTGATTTTGTACAGAGAGGAAGGGAGAGAGATAGAGAGCTAGAAACATCGATGAGAGAGAGTCATCGATCAGCTGCCTCTTGCACACCCCCCACTGGTGATATGCCCGCAGCCAAGGTACATGCCCTTGACCGGAATTGAACCCGGGTCCCTCAGTCCCCAAGCCGACGCTCTATCCATTGAGCCAAACCGGTCTCAGCTAGGGTGTTGTTGTTTTTTTTAAATGTTTTTATTGGTATTTAGAGGGAGAAAAAGAAAGAGAGAGAGAGAGAGAGAGAGAGAGAGGGAGAGGGAGAGGGAGAGGGAGAGAGAGAGAGAGGGAGAGAAACATCATTGATGAGAGAGAAACATTGATCAGTTGCTTCCTACCCGCCCCCCACTTAGGAAGGAGCCTGCAACCCTGGGCATGCGCCCTGAGGAGGCATGGAACCTGGAAAAAGCATGATTCAAGGGGTTGATGCTCAACCAACTGAGCCCCACTGGCCAGGTCTGATCTTTCTTTAGTGTTTTGTTTTTCTTGGAATGTCTTTGGTATTGGTATTAGTGTAATGATGTCATCATTTGGAAAGAATTCTCTTTTTACATTTTCTGGAAGAGTTTGTGTAGAATTGGTTTTTCTTTATTTAAAAAATATATATAAGGCACAATTCACCAGTGAAGCCATCTGGACCTGGGCTCTTCTTTGTGGGAAGTTTTTTTTGTTTTGTTTTGTTTTTAATACATCTTTATTGTTCATATTATTACAAATGTTCCTCTTTTTTCCCCCCTCCATTGCTCCCCTCCACCAGATTCCCACTCCACCCTCTGCCCTTTCCCCACCCCTCATTGTCCTCATCCATAGGTACACAGTTTATGTTCAGTCTCTTCCCACATCCTTATCTCCCCTTTTCCCCGAGAATCGGCAGTTCACTCCCCTTCCATACCTCTGATTCTATTATATTCACCAGTTAATATTGTTCATCAGATTTTTTTAAATTCCCTTGGTTTTTAGATTCACTTGTTGATAGCTACGTATTTGTTGTTCATAGTTTTTATCTTTATTTACTTTCTCTTCCAAAAGAACCCCCTTCAGCAATTCATATAATTCTGGTTTGGTGGTGATGAACTCCTTTAGCTTTTTTTTTATTGGTGAAGCTCTTTATCTGGCCTTCGATTCTGAGTGATAGCTTTGCTGGGTAAATTATCTTTGGCTGTAGGTTCTTACTATTCATCACCTTGAATATTTCTTGCCATTCCCGTCTGGCCTGCATGGTTTTTGTTGACAAATCAGCTGACAATCGTATGGGTGCTCCTTTATAGGTAACTACCTGCTTTTCTCTTGCTGCTTTTAAAATTCTCTCTTTGTCTTTTGCTCTTGGAATTTTAATTATGATTTGTCTTGGTGTGGTCTTCTTTGGATTCCTTTTCTTTGGAGTTCTGTGTGCTTCCTGGACTTGTAAAATTCTTTCACCAGGTGGGGGAAGTTTTCTGTCACTATTTCTTTCAGTATGTTTTCGATATCTTGCTCTCTCTCATCTTCTGGGACCCCCATAATTCTGATGTTGGTTTGCTTGAAGTTGTCCCAGAGGTTTCTTACATTATCTTCAACTTTCTGGATTCTCTTGCCTTCTTGCTTCTGTGGAGGAGTGTCTTCTGGCTCTTTATGTTCCAAATCTTTGACTTGATTTTTGCGATCTTCCATTCTGTTTTTAGGACTCTGTATAATATGTTTTATTTCAGACAATGTATTCTTTATTTCTTGTTGATCCCTTATTATTTCTTGTTGATTCCTTATTATTTCTAGTTAATCCCTTTTCATATCCTCATAGGACTTATCGATCTTTTCTAGGAGATTCTTGAAAAACCTTATAAGCGTGATTTTGAACTCTATATCCAGTCGCTTTTTGTCCTCCATTTCTTTCATTTGTGATCTATTTCCCTGTCTTGGCATTTTTGCAGCTTTCCTGAATTGGTAGCCTTAAAAGTCTGTGTTCTGCCGAAGCCAGTTTGGCTCAGTGGTAGAGCGTCGGTCTGCGGACTGAAAGGTCCCGGGTTCAATTCTGGTCAGGGCATGTACCTTGGTTGCGGGCACATCCCCGGTGGGGGGTGTGCAAGAGGCAGCTGGTCAATGTTTCTCTCTCATCGACGTTTCTAGCTCTCTATCTCTCTCCCTTCCTCTCTGTAAAAAATAAATAAAATATATTTTAAAAAATAAATAAATAAAATAAAATAAAAGTCTCTGTGTTCTGCTTGGATGGGATGGAGTTTCAGGGTGGAGCCTACAGCCTTGGCTTCCATCAGCCACATCAGCCACGCCCTATGTGGCTCCTGAGTCTCAGTGTTTCTCAGGGTCCTTCGGTACTCGCTGTAAGCACCTCTGAGAGTGAGGTGCCCTCGAGTTTCACCTGCTACCAAACAGTCTAGTCTCTCCCCCAATGAGCCCGGAACTGGGGTTCAGTTCAGTTCGAAGTGGGGTTCAGAGCAGTCTGGAGCTTTTGTCTCCTTCCTGCCAGGGCAATCCCGCAGCACAGCCAACCGTCCCTTCTCTGCAAGCAATGTGCGCGCCTCCGGGGGCTCTGCCTTTCGCCGCTCCCCTGGGATTCCGCCTCACAGCCCAGGCTTCCTCTGTTTGAGCCTGGGTCCCCAGGGTCTGGCCTAGAACTGAGGTTCAGTGCTGTCGGGTCTGGGGTTCAGCACAATCCGGAGTTTTTATCTCCTTCCCGCTAGGGAAAGCCAGCCATGCACTCAGCCTCCCCCTCCCCATCAGCTCTGTACCTTAGACTTTTACAGCTCCTCTGATTTTCCTTCTGGTTTTCTCTTTCCTTCTTGTTGTAGAATTTCCAGTCAGTCGACTTTCCTGTAGCTCTGGGAAATGTCCATTTTATATTTTAGTTGTATTTTATTGAAATTGTTGTGTGCGGCTGCGATTAGGTGTTTAGCTATGCAGCCATCTTGGATCCTTCTTTTGTGGGAAGTTTTAAAATGACTAATTCAGTGTCTTTACTTATTGTACGTATAGTCTGATTTTCTGTTTTTTTCTTGAGTTAGTTTCAATAGTTTTTGTCTTTTTAAGAATTTGACCATTAGAGCGTCGGTCTGCGGACTGAAAGGTCCCAGGTTCGATTCTGGTCAAGGGCATGTACATTGGTTGCGGGCACAACCCCGGTAGGGGGTGTGCAAGAGGCAGCTGGTCGATGTTTCTCTCTCATCGACGTTTCTAGCTCTCTATCCCTCTCTCCTCCTCTCTGAAAAAAATCAATAAAATATATTAAAAAAAGAAAAAAAGAATTTGACCATTTAATCTTAAGTTTTCTCATTTATTAGTATATTATAGCAGTGTTTTTCAACCTTTTTTGGGCAAAGGCACACTTGTTTCATGAAAAAAATCACGAGGCACACCACCATTAGAAAATGTTAAAAAATTTAACTCTGTGCCTATATTGACTATATATAAAGTAATTCTCTTGAATAGGAATCAAATAAACACAAAGAAAGTATTTTATAATTACTTTATTCTGAAATATTAAGTAAACAAAATAGTGAAAAATTATAAAATTCTTGTCTTGTCTGCACCTACGGCACACTGCCGCGGAACAGGGGTTGAAAAACGCTGTATTATAGTATTCTCTTATGGTCTTATTTCTATAATGCCCTCTTTTCATTTCTGATTTTAGTAATTTGAGTCTTCTCTTTTTTTTTCCCTTTGTCAGTCTAGACCAGCTGACTTTCTGTTCTGTTGTTTTTTTTTTATTCTCTACTTTATTACATTTTGCTGTAATCTTTTTTATTTCTTCCTTTTACATACTTGCTTTAGATTTGGTTTCTTCTTTGGTGGAAGGTTAGCTTATTGACTTCTGTCTTCTTGTTTTTTTTAAATATATTTTTATTGATTTCAGAGAGGAAGGGAGAGGGGAAAGAGATAGAAACACTAATGATGAGAGAGAATCATTGATTGGTTGCCTCCTGCATGCCCCCTATGGGGGATGGAGGCCACAACCTGGGCATGTGCCCTTGACTGTAATTGAACCCAGGACCCTTTAGTCTGCAGGCCAGTGTTCTCTCCACTGAGCCAAACCAGCCAGGGCGAAGTCTTCTTTATATAGGTGTTGACAGCTATATATTTTCATCTAAGCACTGCTTTAGCTGCATACTGTAAGTTTTGGTAGGTTGTGTTTTTGTTTTAATTTATTTTAAAGGATTTTTAAATTTCCATTGTGTTTTTTGTTGATCCACTGATTATTTAGTAGTTTGTTGTTTAATTTCTACATATTTGTGAACTTTCCAGATTTTTTTTTAGTTGCTAATTATTCCACTGTATCAGAGAACATATTTTGTATGATTTGAATTTTTGAAACTTATTGAGGCTTATTTTATGACCTGGCATAAGGTCTCTCCTGGAGAATGTTCCATGCATATTTAAGAAGAATGTATATTCTTTTGTTGTTGGGTCCAGTGTTTTATCGATATCTATTAGGTCTAGTTGATTTATAATATTGCTTCAATTAGTTTTTGCGCTAATAATGCTGTACTAAATGTGACCATCCTAGGTCTTGCCATTCTCACTGGGCCTTTCCATTTGTAGTTCCTTCAGCCTGGAACATTGATCCCATAAGCAACACATAATTTTCTCCCTCATTTCAGTCTCATTTTCCCACATATGTCACCGTGTCAGAAAGGCCTTTTCCTGACAACCTTTCCAACCCTAACATTCTTTTTATATATTTATTCTTCTTTATTTTTTACTTAAAGCATTTGTCACTACTTACAAACATAGAGTATATTTATTTGTCTGTCTCTTCTATTCCCTTACTCACTGTTATGTCACCTAGTAGGGCCTCTAAAATTGTGAAGCAGGTGTGTGGATATGGAGATCTGGAAGTAAGAGCAGAGGTCTTAACTGGTGATAGAAATTTGAAAGTCATCAGCATAAAGGATAAATTTAAAAGTATGGGTTAAAAAAAACAAACCTATGGCAAGAGTGAAGAGATAAAAAAAAAAAAAGGACAAGTATCTAGCCCTGATGAATCCAACATGTATAGAGATTTAATAGGCTAGGAGGCCCAACAAAGAAGACTGAGAAGGAGTAACAGAGAAGTAGTACATCACAGTTCTTTTAGTATAAGGATTCCCAAATTACAACTAAATTTAAAAACTAGGAGGTTTTGTCATTGAAGCCAAAGAAGAGGCAATTAGCAACTCAGTGGAAGCTTCTGTGAGGTTCAGAAAGACATATGGCTAAAGAAGTGACTATTAGATGTGGAACATGAAGATTGTTGATGATGTTGACAAGAGCACCAGGTTGGTGCAGACAGTAGCGGGCCTACGTGTATTGAAGAGTGCATAGGCCATGAGGAAATGGTGATGCCTTCTCAGTTTACAAAATTCCTTCCTTTTAAAAAAAAACAAAAAAACAACTAAATATATTTGGCTATTTTATAACATAAGTATACTAGTGGCCCGGTGCACGCGATTCATGCACATTAAAAGGAAGACCCAGAGTCAAGTCCCTGCCCATCCACATGCACCTCAAAATTGTGTGAGACCCAGCCCCAGCCGTGCCCCCTCCCCCCCAACTGGGCTAGATCCAGACCTGGCCAGCCCTGCTGGGCAGGGGTCATAGCCTCAGGTCCCCCAGCTAGGGCGGTGGGGTGTGCTGGAAGGTCGCTCATCAAGCCCCGCTAGGTGGGGGACACTGCCTGAGATCCCCTGTCAAGCCCCGGTGGGTGGGGGTTGGGCACAGCCTCAGGTTCCCCAGCCCGGCACCGGGAGGAGGGGGCACAAACTCAGGTCCCCTGGCCCAGTGCTGGAGCATGGTGTGGCCTGAGGTCCCCTGTCATTGCCCCCTGGGGCAGGGGAGGGTGCAGCCTCAGGTCCCTGCGGATCACTCGTTAAGGCTCCTTAAGGAAACTTGGCCTCAGCTGTGGGTGCAGCCATCTTTGTGACGGAGTGATGGTCAATTAGATATTCCCTCTTTATTCGGTAGGATGATAGTAAAGAAAGTGCAAATAAACAGAAAGAAGCTGTGGCCAATGTCCATAGTCCCACAGGCCAGAGATAATCGCTGTAAACACTTGATGTTCTTCCAGGTACTTTCCTATGAAATAATGTTTCTTTTATTGAAGTAGCATTACAAAGTATTTTTCGAACCTACTTAATGATATCATGAACTTATTTTTATGCAATGAAATTAATCTACAATGTTTTATTGCATAATAGTAATTTATAATATCTGGTACATGATTTATTTAACCAAGACCTGTTATTGAACATTTAATATATTAGTAATTTTTTCTATCCATCCTTATAGTCAAGTTTTTTTGTGCATATCTTTATTTCCTTAGGAAAGCAGGTGGACTTATTTGAACAGAGGGTATGCAATTTTTTAATGATTCTCCACTTCTTCCATCCCCTGATTTTTAAACTTTTAACATGAGAATTGAGTGTATGGGAATCTTGTCGTTTTCAGGGCTTAGGTCTGAGGAAGACAGTCTCTCTCTGTGACATTAATGCCACTCAGATGCTGGAGGCAGCTTCTAACCAGGGGTACCTGACTGGGGATTTCTCCAAGGTGAGCGTGGGTGCACCCTTTCTGTATTTGAGTCATTTGGGGTCTGAATCTTTCCTTCTCTGCTTGCAGAGAACACTAGGTATAATTTAAAAAAGAAGAAAATGCACATGCTATCCTGGACATTTGAAAGCTATCTCTTCTGTTACCATTTTTTTAGCTTAATAAAACATTTCCATTTTTGTCCTGTAGGCTACTCTTTTTAAAAAAAACAACAGCATTTTTAAAAATTGGTTGAAGAGAGGAAGGGAGAGAGAGAAACATCAATGATGAGAATTATTGATCAGCTGCCTCCTCCATGCCCCATAAGGGGGATTGAGCCAGAAACCCGGGCGTGTGCTCTGACCAGAAATGGAACCATAAACTCCTAGTTCACAGGTCAATGCTCAACCACTGAACCACACAGGCCAGGCTAATTGATCTTTAGAATTCCCAAACAGAAAAATGTCAAAGCATTTCTTAAAATCTTAGAGGCATTTTTCCCCTGCATATTTGTTTCTACATAGCAAATTAGTAACTTGTAAAAGGTTGTTCCCATTTTTGTTTTATTCTAGTTTTGTGATTTTTTTGTTTTTATTCCCCGCCCCTTCCTCTCTAAAATCAATTTAAGAAAAAATTCCACTTCACCATTTTTAAAAATATATATTTTATTGAGTTTTTACAGAGATGAAGAGAGAGGGATAGAAAGCTAGAAACATCAATGAGAGAGAGACATCGATCAGCTGCCTCTTGCACACCCCCCTACTGGGATGTGCCCGCAACCGGTACATGCCCTTGACCGGAATCAAACCTGTCAGTCCGCAGGCCGACGCTCTATCCACTGAGCCAAACTGGTTTCGGCATCCACTTCATCATTTTTAACAATACAGTATTTTATTCTATTGTTGGCTTGATAAATCCCTTCTAAAATATTTTATAATTTTTTTTGTGTGTGAAGTATACCAGGATGGACATAGTTGTAGCTACATCTAAAACTTTATACACATTCTTTTTTTTTCTTTTTTCTTTTTTGTTATTTATTTATTTATTACATATTTTATTGATTTTTCCCCCCTCCCTCCCACACATCCCCTCCCTCCCCAGAGTTCCATGTCCATTGGTTGTACTTTTATACACATTCTTAATTAGTTTCTTTGATATAAATTGAACTGCTACTGCAGTTTTTAGAAATTGAGTGCACATTATAGAGACCATGGGTGGAGTAAAGTTCATTTGGAAAGATGGACAATAGCCCTAGCTGGTTTGGCTCAGTGGGTAAAGCATTGGCCTGCAGCCTGAAGGGTCCTGGGTTCAGTTCTGGTCAAGGGACATGCCCGGGCTGAGAGCTCGATCCCTGGTGTGGGGTGTGCAGGAGGCAGCTGACCAATGATTCTCATCATTGGTGTTTCTGTCTCTTCCTTTCTGAAATCAATAAAAAATATACTTTTTTAAAAAGAAAGAAGGACAGCCGAGGCCGGTTTGGCTCAATGGATAGAGTGTCGGCTTGGGGACTGAAGGGACCTGGGTTCGATTCCGGTCAAGGGCATGTACCTTGGTTGCGGGCACATCCCCAGTAGGGGTGTGCAAGAGGCAGCTGATCGATGACTCTCTCTCATCGATGTTTCTAACTCTCTATCTCTCTCCCTTTCTCTCTGTACAAAATCAATAAAATATATTTTTTAAAAAAAAAAAAAGGATAATATTTGGGCGTTTTTTCTCAAATTTGGTTATAGAAAAATTGCTGTTATTTCATCTCTTTGGTATTTCTAGGTATGTGCACTGCCAACCGTGTCAGGGCGACACCAAGATCTGAAGTACATCAGCCCGGAAACAGTAAGCAGATTTCTGGAGATGGTAACTGGTTACATAAGCTACCATCTGGTCTGTTCTGTCCCTAAAATCCCCACTTCCGATTGTATTTCTTTCACTGACTGTGTTCGCTAACAGATTCCTTATTCAACTGAAGCTGTGTTAAAGGACTTACTTTTATCTCATTCTTCTGTCATCTTCATTTTTAATTAAATGAGTGATATGTAATTTTTATGAAAGGAAAAAATGAAAGAAGGCAAGAAAGGAAGGAAAGAAAAGAAAGTTAAAGAAAAAGCAAAAACCCCAAAAGGAAAAATCACTTCATTTGAGTGATCTTACATCCTGATTTACATGTTACAATTTCATTTATGCCTACTAGTGCAGGGTAATTACTAACACCGTTCTTTTACTCAAAAAAATGTCCCAGTGCCTGGCCAGTGTGGTTCAGTGGTTGAGCATCAACCTCTGAACCAGGAAGTCAGGTTTCAATTCCTGGTCAGGGCATATGCCCAGCTTGCGGGCTTGATCCCTAGTGGGGGGTATGCAGGAGGCAGCCTATCAATGATTCTCTCTCATCATTGATGTTTCTATCTCTCCCTCTCCCTTTACCTCTCTAAAATCAATAATATTTCTTTAAATATATATATATATTTTTTATTTTATTTTATTTTATTTTATTTTTTAATACATTTTATTGATTTTGTACAGAGAGGAAGGGAGAGAGATAAAGAGTTAGAAACATCGATGAAAGAGAGTCATCGATCAGCTGCCTCTTGCACACCCCCTACTGGGGACGTGCCCGCAACCAAGGTACATGCCCTTGACCGGAATCGAACCCGGGACCCTTCAGTCCCCAAGCCGATGCTCTATCCATTGAGCCAAACCGGTTCCGGCTTATTTTTTATTTTTTTATTTTTTTACAGAGTGTAAGGGAGAGGCATAGAGAGTTGGAAATATTGATGAGAGAGAAACATCAACCAGCTTCCTCCTGCACACCTCCTCCTGGGGATGTGCCCGCAAGCAAGGTACATGCCATTGACTGGAATCGAACCTGGGACCTTTCAGGCCGCAGGCCGACGCACTATTCACTGAGTCAAACCGGTTTCGGCTATTTTATTGATTTTTGACAGAGAGGAAGGGAGAGGGATAGAGAGCCAGAAACATCGATCAATCAGCCGCCTCCCGCACACCTCCGCTGGGGATGTGCCCGCAACCAAGGCACATGCCCTTAACCTGCATTGAACCTGGGACCCTTCAGTCCGCAGGCTGACGCACTATCCACTGAGATAAACCGGTCAGGGCCTTTTATTTTTATATGTATTGACAGTGAGTGTCCACATGGGGTAGGCCAGGTGATGGAAATGATGAACTAATTTATACTTAAGGCTTTCTTTCTTTCTTTATATTGGAGGGTGGGGAACCATTTCCCGTCTCTTGCAAAATCTGGATCTCTAGCTGCTACCTGTACCACTGCAGAAGTCTTTGTCTTCTGAAAGACTGATTCCAGCCATGCCTGCCTCAAGAATAGCAGCTTCAATATGGTTTTCCCCAGTATCCTGGCAATACCAGCTATTTCGGTTCTCTAAAAAGGCCACTTGCTATTCCATTTTATGTGGGGTGGGGCTGAACCGTTGCCACATTTCAAAATAGGGGAACTTTTGGAGGCTAGTCATACAGTGGAATCCTGGGTGACTAAAGGGAGTGTAAATCAGAAACTGTGAAACTGTCTCTTTTTTCCTTCAGAGTGACAGTAAGCAGGGTGTTCAATCATCATTTCTGTGCAGGTGGCTGCCTTACTGTTGGGGAAATTCCAGGGCCTGATTGAAAAGTTTTACATCATCGATTGCCGCTATCCGTATGAGTACCTCGGAGGACACATCCAGGTGAGGTTACGTTGGGGACATTGGCAGGGAAAGGGTTGGAGACAGCTCTGTGAACTCTAGAACCAGGGCAGACCTGCATTTGGAGCACATCAAAGCTGTCAGTCTTCACTGCTCTTCTAATTCCATATACTTTGAGCAATTTACTTTCCCCTTCCCTCCTAGACCAATCTCCCTCTTTTCAGTAGGAGCCAAGGGCTCTTACATGGAAATAAAAACATTCATCCAAGGACTGAGAGGCACTTTGCAAACATTTTACTGCTCATAGTCAGTTCTCACATTGACACTACACTTCAGGCATACTTAGTTCTATGAACATTTATTGAGTAACGACTACATACCAATCTCTAAGCCAGGCCCTGGGGGTAGATAGAGAGATACAGTTAGGTCTCTTTGAAAGTGCTTGTAGTCTAGACTTCCTGGCCCAAATTTCCCAAGGTAGTATGGAATCCCAAGTATTTCTAAGTGTTGGTTTTACTGTCCACAGGCCCTTGAGGAAATATTTATTAAAATTTTTCTACAGGGAGCCTTAAACTTGTTCAGTCAGGAGGAACTGTGTAACTTCTTTCTGAAGATGCCTGTTGTCCCTTTGGATGCCCAGAAGAGAATCATCATCGTGTTCCACTGTGAATTCTCCTCAGAGAGGGGCCCCCGAATGTGAGTGTCCACATGGGGTAGGCCGGGTGATAGAAATTTGAACTTGAGTTGGGACTTAAAAGGGATCCTTCCCAGATTGAATGAATGAATGCTCTCTCCTGTGGTTTGAAGAATGATAGGGAGGTGAAGAAGGGGGTTTCAACAATTCAAAAGTTTGGAGCTGTGAAAGAAAAAGGACTGGAATTAGGCACTAGTGGAGGAAAAGAGAAAGAATGGTGCTTCTTAGATCTTGTTTTGCAAGGAAAATGAGATCTGGAAGTCCTTATGGAGCTAGCAAAAGTCTGTTCTTTCTCCCCCTCCCCATTGAGCAGCCCATGGAATCCTGACCTTCTTCTCACCTCACCCATCTCTGCGCTTTCTTTAAAGGTGCCGCTCTCTGAGAGAGGAGGACAGGGCCCTGAACCAGTATCCTGCATTGTACTACCCAGAGCTCTATATCCTCAAAGGGGGCTACAGAGACTTCTTTCCAGACTATCCGGTAAAGGATGGGATGTGTGGGCCAATGAGGGAGCCTAGACTTGGGGACGCCAACTTTAGGGTGCAACTCCAAAGGCATGCAAGGCCATCCCAGAAGAAATTGCTGATCCTTCCTAGCTACTACCATCAGCCTCTCTATTATTCTGGGTCAGCATAATAATAGAGGATCCCTTACTCTGTCCCTGACTTTCCTTTCAGGTGCTATGCGAACCACAGAGCTACTGCCCTATGCACCACCAGGACCATAAGGCAGAATTGCTGAGGTGTCGGAGCCAGAGCAAAGCATGGGAAGGGAAGCGGCAGCTGCAGGAGCAGATTGCCTTACTGGTGAAGGCTGGGAACCTACGATAATAGATCAGCTGCTGGCTCCTTAGGAGTCACCAAAAGATAATGTAGAAAACCTGGGCAGGAAGAGGTCAACAGGCTGCCAAACAGATGCAATCCTAGTCTTGGGGATTGGTTAGGTTTCGGCAGAATTGCTGGCTGGTGGAGCTGACTCTGTAAGCTGTAGCCTTGGGTTGTATTGGGGTGTGTGTTGCTTCAGGGAGTGTTTACATTCTCTTTTTAACTAGAAGCCAGCCAGCTAGCTCTTTTTCTCCCTGAGCTTCCGGCTATGCAAGAGAGTTACCACATTCTTTCTCTGTATTTTCCTTCTTTGTTTCCCCCCCTCTCTTTTTATTAAGTGGAAAAATAAACATTGTAGAATGAGAGATATGATTGTGAGCCTAGTCTGCTCCTAGAAGATTTCTATAAGGAAGTGGTCACCAAATTAGATTCTTTCCGACAAAAAGGTATAACCATTTCAAATTCAGAGTTAAGACCACATTGCTTTTCTCAAGATCAGCTAGTTGATAGAGTGTTGGCCTACGGACTGACGGGCCCCAGGTTCGATACCGGCCAAGAGCACGAACCTGGGTTGCGGGTTTGATCCTCAGTGGGGGGTGTGCAGGAGGCAGCCAATCAGTGCTTCTCATTATTGATGCTTCTATCTATCTCTTTCCCTTTTTAAAAATAAAATAAACAAATAATAAATGGAAAAATATCCTCAGGTGAGGATTAACAAAACAAAAAAAGATTAAAAAACAAAAAAAGTTTAGACCTTGGACCATCACTATCATCTAAAATCATTTAAAATACAAAATTTCAGGACTCATTCCAGACTTAGTAAATCAGAACCTCTGAGTCAGGGCCCAAAAACCGGAGTTTTAAAAATCTCCCTTGTAGGTGATTCTGATGGTCACCAAAGCTTGAGATCCACTGCTGTGGAATTAAAATCCTTCTGTGCATTCTTTAGCAAAATTCCAGGCTTTCCTTTCCTGAAGACCATCTCATGGTATGAGTTACACTCAAGTGTTTCCCAGACTCGGCCCTCTGGTATCTAGGCTTAGAAAACCAGATGAGTGTCATTCTCTATAGCTAGTGATAAGTTCAGTTTGGCTTAAAAAGTTCCTTGTCTATAGTCACAATGGAGTTTAGGCTTTTTCTATTTCCCAAACTCTTTTCTCCCCTCCATTTCACAGCTCACAAAATACAAATTTAGATTTAATGTGGTTGGAAGTATAATAGATATTTGCACTATATTTATGGAATAAGATAAAATAAAGTACCAAGCAAGATCAGTTAGATTTAAGGAAGACCTTTTATTTTTAAAAATTACTTTTAGCTGAAACCGGTTTGGCTCAGTGGATAGAGCTTCAGCCCGGGTTCGATTCCGGGCAGGGGCATGTACCAGTTGCGGGCACATCCCCAGTGGGAGGTGTGCAGGAGGCAGCAGATCAGTGTTTCTCATCGATGTTTCTAACTCTCTATCCCTCTCCTTTCCTCTCTGTAAAAAATCAATAAAATATATATTTTTAATTATTTTCAGTCGAAACTGGTTTGGCTCAGTGGATAGAGTGTCGATTTGTGAACTGAAAGGTCCCGGGTTCGATTCCGGTCAAGGGCAAGTACCTTGGTTGCGGACACATCCCCAGTAGGGGGTGTGCAGGAGGCAGCTGATTGATGTTTCTCTCTCATCGATGTTTCTGACTCTGTTCCTCTCTCTTCCTCTCTGTAAAAATATATTTATATAAAATATATTTAAAATAAAATTACTTTCAGAGAAAGAAACATCAATTTGCTATTTCACTTATTTATGTATTCATTGGTTGATTCTTGTATATGCCCTGACCAAGGACCAAACTTACAACTTTGGCAAATCATGATGGAGCTCTAACCAACTGAATTACCCAAACAGAGCAAGGAAGACCTTTTAAATGGCATTCTTCATCAATATCCCAGGTTTTCCCTTCTTAGAGTTTTTTAAGGTGAGTAGGCTTTTGTCTGCTTAATTGGATACAGCCCTAGTTAAAAGTAAGCAGGTGGAAGGAGGGCTGGACTAATGCTTCTCTGGAGTGTAGTGTGCATGCCTCACAGCAGAGGGCACTGTTGTATTCTCTAAGCCAGCCACTGGAGCTTGCGTCCTTCACTCCTAACAAATGCCTGCTGTGCAGAGGGAAAATTCCTCTCTGGTCTCCCTGAGCCCTTGAGCTCAGAGCTATTGTAGAAGAGGTGAAGGAAAAAAAGAGAGAAAAGCTGCTGCCTCACCCCACACACTTACCCCCACCAAGCAAGAACTCTCTTAGCCCAAGGAGGAAAGTGCTTGAAGCACCTCCACTTTCAATTGTGAGAAGGGGCCCCTGACTCATTATCTACTCTAGTGGGTTATTTCCTGATAGTTATTCCCAGGAAGGTAGAACTAAGCCCCACCTGTGAAGAGACTGGTACCCATGTGTTCACATTTCAGTAATCTTAGTAATTGGAAATTCTGAGTTATAAAACAAAAAACAAGGGCTTAACAATCTACTTTGTGAAAAATTATATTTGCCTAAAAGGCAACATTTTCCCATGTAATTTTTATTTGTTTACTTTATTTATTTTTAGAGAGGAAGGGAGAGAGAGAAACATCGACATGAGAGCAAAACATCTACCTGCTGCCTCCTGCACATGCCCCAATGGGGAATCGAACCTACAACCCAGGCCTGCACCCTGTGCCCTGACCAGGAATCAAACCAGTGACTTTTCAGTGCATGGGACAATACCCAACCAATTGAACCACACCAGCCAGAATCCATATAAATTTTATAACATCCTCCTACTCTGTAGGTATTATGGTTTGATTCATGCTATTTTCAGGAGGTATGTATTGCATGCAAGATTTTTTTTAATAAACTTGTGTATATGTAAACTAATTTTCACACTAATTCTGAGGCAGGTACTGATTATTATGATTATTATGTTTTATAGGTAAAGAAATTTACTTATTTTAAGATCACACAGCTAGTGAATGATGGAGTTGGGATTTGAATCCAGTCAGTATGGCTCCAGAGTCTGTACCTTAATGGATTTTCCGTTACCAGGTCCTCATCAAAGAACAAAGTGCCTTTCCAGAGCTGGCATTGTGTAGCATGTTAAATATGTAAGCCGCAGTTGTAGGTTCTGGAGAAGTCAGGGCCGTAAGGATTGCTTAGGCTTGCAAGGCTAAAGGCGGACACTATGACCCTGGCCCTTAGACCTCAGCACAAGGCTATTTAGGGGGTCAGCTCTGCACTGTTCTCCTTGCACAGCCAGTATTCATCATGAAGTCAAGCAAAAAAGCATGGAAACTTTTGGGCCTAAAAGCTGCTTCTGGTTGTCAATCTCAACCTAGGACCTGATGACCTCTGCCATTAAACAGGGAGGAGCAGCCCTGGCTGGCGTTGCTCAGTGGTTAGAGTGTTGGCCTATGCACCGATGTGGGTTGTGGGTTTGATTCCCGGACAAGGGCATGTACCTGGGTTGCACATCCAATCCCTGCTCCCAGTCAGGGTGTGTGTGGGGGGGAGGTCACCAATCCATTTGTCTCTGTCACATATGTGTCTGTTTCTCCCTCTTCTCTCCCCCACTCCCCCGCCTCCCTTCCACTCTCTCTAAAAATCACTGGGAAAACTAAAGGGAGGAGCAGCCTGGTCCAAATGGTCCAGTTGCGTGAGCATCATCCTCTGCACTGAGAGGTCGCTGGTTTCGATTCCCAATCAGGGCACATGTCCCAGTAGGGGACGTGCAGGAGGCAGCCTGTCAATGTTTCTCAAAAAAAGAAAAAAGAAAAAAAAAAAAGGAGCCTTTCTCTTTCCTTCTCAGGTATAAAGTGGGAGACATATAGGATTCTCTTTCAGGCAAGTGTTAAGGAAACACCGTTTCCTTTATTTAAAAAAAAAATATATATATATATATTGATTTCAGAGAGGAAAGAAGAGGGAGAGAGAGAAAAACATCCATGATGAGAGAGAATCATTGATCAGCTGCTTCCTGCAAGTGGGGGTCAAGCCCACAACCCAGGCATGCGCCCTTGACCGGAATCGAAGCTGGGACCTTTCAGTTCACATGCCAATGCTCTATCCACTGAGCCAAACCAGCTAGGGCAACACCAATTCCTGTAAACATACATATATCTGGAGTTGTTAATTCTGAGTACCAGAGATATTCAGATATGACACAAGCCTGGCCCTCGAAAAACTGACAAGGTAGGAAATTATTTTTGTTTCTATCCCTGGCTCACTAGTATATTCAGCAAAAGGAAGAATTGTGTGCAGTCTCCAGCTCCAAAGCAGCAAGTTGGGTGATGGGGGCTGGTCGAGTTCACAGGTGTTTAGTTTCTGCATGCCACTTGGGATGATGCCACTTTAAAAAATATTTTTAAATATTTTTATTTATTTTTAGAGAAGAGGGAGAGAGAAACATCAGTGATGAGAGAGAATCATTGATTGGCTGCCTCCTGCACACCCCCTACTGGGAATGCAGCCAGCTACCTGGGCATGTGTCCTTGACTGGAATCGAACCCAGGACCTTTTAACTCCACAGGCTGACACTCTATCCACTGAGCAAACCAGCTAGAGCAGGATGATACAATGTGCCAGGCACCGTGTTAAACCTTTTATTCAATATATACTGTTTAATCCTCAGAACTATTATACATATGAAGTAGATACTGTTATTAATTTTACAGATGAAAACAAATTGAAGCACAGAAAGATCAAATGACTGCTCAAGTCACCCAGCCTGTGTTAGAAATGTCGTTTGATCCAAGGCAACGTGTAAAGCTTGTGCTCTTAGCTGTTCACTATATTTCTAATATTCTAGGTTAGGATATCAGCAGGAATTAAAGCTTAACAGTGAGTGAGAGAGGACTTGATAGAAAGCAGAAAACCAAGATTACAAGTGAAAGTGGAGTTGAAGTGCAGGGTCTTGGGACCTTGGAGCCCCAATCAGTGGGTTGCAGTTCCTCCCAGAGCAGGGTTTGTGTCTGAACAATTTTTGCATCTGGCACAAAGCTGGACCCATAATCTCTCTCAAAAGACATTGGATTGAATGATGGCTGAGTAACATCATCTTCGTAGAAAGGACTGTCTCATTTGTCATTATCCACAAGGTGGATAATGCTCTCTAGCAGGTGTTGGCCGTCACAGAGGACGCGTTTGGGGGAGAAGGCTATGCTAGAAGAGTGTCTTGGAGTCACATTTATTTGTAGAGGCTCCTCAACCCTCCCGTAGTTTGGTTATCGGTCCTCATTAAAGGCCCAATGATGTCAGCCTCTCTCCCCACCACTACCCCAACCTCACCTGTGCCCAGAAATATACTCCAGGCACCTCATTTACTCTCACAAAAAGCCTGGCCTCAGAACTGGGCATTGCTC